GATCTCAGCCTCCGCGGTCCGCACAGAACCACCGCGGCCTACACAAAACCACCGCGGCCGCACTTCATTTTGTGCGGTCCGCACGGCACATACCGCGGCCGCACTTCTTTTTGTGCGGTTCGTGCGGATGGGTTACGATGTCTGCAACCCTTCTAGACCTACTACAGCTATGATTTTGGCCTAAAACATCCCGGAACCTACCCGGAACTCCCGGAACTTCAAACCAATTGTACCAATATATCCCATGACATCGTTATAACTTGTTCAAAACTTTGGAACGCTTACAACAACATCAGTCACCAATTTAACATAGGATTCAAGTATAAGTTGTGGTATAAGTTGGATCCTGGTATAAGTATAACATAGGATTGGATCGAGGGCGAGAAACGTGGATGGGTATAAGTTGTGGTACTCTGGAGTCCAGAGAGGTAAGAATGGAGTGGGTATCCTGGTGGATAGCCATCTTAGAGAGTCGGTGGTAGAGGTTAGGCGGGTGAATGATAGACTAATGACTATTAAATTGGTGGTGGGTGAGTGTACTTTAAATGTCATTAGTGCGTACGCGCCGCAAACGGGCTTGGATGAGGAGATTAAAAGGCACTTTTGGGAGGGGTTGGATGACATCGTTCGTATTATTCCGCCTTCCGAGAGGTTATTTATAAGAGGAGATTTCAATGGTCATACTGGGTCGTCGACAGGTGGTTATACTGAGGTGCATGGCGGCTTTGGTTTCGGGGAGCGGAACGAAGGGGGCACTTCACTGTTGGACTTTGCCAAGGCATTCGATCTAGTGATTGCGAACTCATGTTTTCCGAAGCGGGAGGAGCTCCTGGTTACTTACCAAAGTTCGGTGGCGAAGACTCAGATTGACTATCTCCTCCTCAGGAGATGTGACAGAAGGTTGTGCGAGGATTGCAAAGTTATCCCAGGAGAGACCCTTGCAACGTAGCATAGGCTTTTGGTGATGGACATTGGTATCATGATAAAGAGGAAGAAGAGGTCAGTAAGAGGATGCCCGAGGATTAGGTGGGGTGCCTTGACTAAGGATAAAGCTCAGGATTTGGAAGGAAGGTTATCGGCAATGGGAGCTTGGAGAAGCAGTGGGGACGCAAACACTATGTGGTCGACGATGGCGAACTGTATAAAGAAGGCGGCGATAGAGGTGCTAGGGATATCTTCGGGCCGCATCAGTGGCCACAAAGGAGACTGGTGGTGGAATGCAGTTGTCCAAGGTAAAGTGGAATCAAAGAAGGCGGCTTACCTACGGTTAATAGGGAGCACTGGTGAGGAGGAGAAGTGAGCGAACAATGAGAGGTATAAGGTAGCTAGGAAGGAGGCGAAGATGGCAGTAACGGAGGCTAAGACGACAACTTTTGCTCGTCTATATGAGTAACTAGGGAACAAAGGCGAGGAGAGGAAGTTATTCCGAATCGCTAAGGTGAGAGAGAGGACGGCTCGGGATCTGGACCAAGTGAGGTGCATAAGATATGATGATGGCAAAGTTTTGATGGGGGATGACCAGATTAAGAGGAGATGTCAGAACTACTTTCATAAACTTCTAAATGAAGAAGGGGATCAAGATATTGTACTAGGTGAACTGAGGAATGCCGACAGTCCCCATGAATTAAGTTATTGTAGGGACATTGAGGTCGATGAGGTCATGGAGGCAATGCATAAGATGAGAAGGGGCAGAGAGACCGGGCCAGACAAAATTCTGGTTGAACTTTGGAGGTGTTTGGGTAGAGCAGGCTTGGAATGGCTTACTGGGTTGTTTAATGTTATATTCAAAACTAATAGGATGCCTGAAGAGTGGAGGTGGAGTACAATGGTTCCGTTGTATAAAAACAAAGGCGATCTCCAAAGCTGTAACAACTATAGGGGTATCAAATTACTGAGTCATACCATGAAAGTCTGGGAGAGAGTGGTAGAAATGAGAGTGCGAAAGATGGTATCTATTTCAGACAACCAGTTTGGGTTCATGTCGGGGCGATCTACCACAGAAGATATCCACCTTATGAGGATGATGGTGGAACAATACAGGGATAAGAAGAAGGATCTCCATATAGTGTTTATTGATCTAGAGAAAGCGTATGACAGGGTTCCTAGGGAGGTCTTATGGAGCTGCTTAGAGGTTAAAGGGGTCTCGGCAGCCTACATTAGGGTGATTAAAGACATGTATGATGGATCTAAGACTCGGGTTAGGACAGTAGGAGGCGACTCCGAGCATTTTCCGGTTATTACGGGGTTACACCAAGGATCTGCGTTCAGCCCTTTCCTATTTGCCCTGGTGATGGATGCACTAACTCATCATATTCAAGGAGATGTGCCATGGTGCATGCTATTTGCTGATGACGTAGTTCTAATCGATGAGACACGAGGCGGTGTCAACAAGAGGCTAGAGGTTTGGAGATAGACCCTTGAGTCTAAAGGCTTCAGGTTGAGCAGGACGAAGACGGAATACCTCGAGTGCAAATTTGGGGCTGAACCGATGGAAGCGGGAGTGGAAGTGAGCTTGACTCTCGAGTCATCCCTAAGAGGAGTAGTTTCAAGTACCTTGGGTCAGTTATTCAAGGGATCGAGGAGATCGCGAGGATGTCACACACCGTATAGGGGTGGGGTGGATGAAGTGGAGGTTAGCATCGGGAGTCCTGTGCGACAAAAAAGTGCCAACGTTACTAAAAGGTAAGTTTTATAAAGCAGTGGTTAGGTCTGCCATGTTGTATGGGACCGAGTATTGGCCGGTTAAAAACTCACACATNTTTTATGTTATTTTATTATGAATCTATGGATAGTACTAATATATCGTCTCTTGTCGCTTTCTTGTGCCGAGGGTCTCCTGGAAACAGCCTCTCTGCCCCTCGGGGTAGGGGTAAGGTCTGCGTACCTATTATCCTCCCCAGACCCCACAAGTGGGATTATCATGGGTTGTTGTTGTTGTTGTTGTTGTTGTTGTTGTTGTTGTTGTTGTTGTTGTTGTTGTTGTTGTTGTTGTTGTTGTTGTTGTTAT